TGTGTTTCTATCTCTCTCTCCCTCTCCCTCCCTCTCTCTCTCTCTCTCTCTCTCTCTCTCTCTCTCTCTCTCATTAAATAAAAACATACATTCTTTTTAAAAGCTGTTTCTTTGTGCCTTCTAGTTACCCAAGAATGCTTCATGAGAACCTCCCACTTTCTGAGAAGCCATGTCCAGGATAGTCTCTGCATTTTGAGGTAGGACTCAGTCTCACTGCAGGGCCCTGTGGGCTCAGAGGAATGAGAACTGGTTGAATCAGATGAGACCACACTTGGGATCTCTGGAAGACCCACATGCAAATTCCTTGATGCCAGGTGCCACCTACAGGCTGCTAGGAGTCTGGCTGATTTATTCAGGAATCCTGGCCTATGTTGTTGTGGGACTGCCCATGCCTTCTGTAGTCTCAATGCGATCCAATTGGGTAACTAAGATTTAAGCTATGTTTTGGTCCCTCCCACCTGCTCCTTTATGCATCCCTCCCAACACCATTTCCTCAGGCAGCCAGGACCATTGAGGCACCTTTAATCTAGACCCATGGTTGCATTTGGCTCAGAGGCAGGCCCACCACACCTAGGCAGAGTTGTCAAATATTCATTCCAGGTCCTTTGCTCTCTGTCCCTCCCTCTTTGACAAACAAAACCTTCCTAATGCATTATTTTTTCCCCATTACTCCCACTAAATACAAATAAGAATGATGGGCATTATATATTAAAAAGAAGAAGAACAAGGGGGGAAGGAGAGGGAGATGACTCGAAGGAGAAGAAAACAGACTAGAAACCTTAGGACATGAAGAAGAACAATGGTAATATGTTCCTTGTGTATTCTTTTTGTTTCACATATCTCAGACTTTGGAAGAAGCCAACAACTGAGAAAGGACAAGAGACACAATCACAAAAAAATCCCCAAGCAAAGCCTGCTCTCCTTAGCCAAAGGAATAGGAAAGAGGGAGGCTATAAGATAGAAAAAAAAATTTAAATAACTGCTCTATACCAGCCAGACACCACAGAAAGACTGTGACCCCATCCTCACTAAAGCCAGCAAAGGCCTAGTGAGGAGCCCACACTTCCACCCTCATAAGGCTATAAAAGGTGCCCCTAAAACAAAAACAAAAAACAAAAAAGGTACCCCTACCTCCTACTAGAGTGCTATCAGAGGAGGCCTCGTGGAAAATGAGGAATTTCACTGCTGCTCAGTAGTCATGAGGCTCTGCCACATTGGACGGCATCTATACTAATAAAAGGGTAATATGCTAATTAGACCAGGTAGACTGGACATCTTCCGAACGTCCAACTTCTTTCCAGACAAAGCCATGGTGGCGGGGGCCAAGGCAGAGGCGGTTAGGGGCGATCAGGCAGGCAGGGGAGCAAGCAGTTAGGGGCGATCAGGTTGGTGAGGGAGCAAGCAGTTAGGGAGCAATCAGGCCGGCAGGGGAGGGCAGTTGGGGGCGATCAGGCCTGCAGAGGCAGTTAAGGGCAATCAGGCAGGCAGGCAGAGATGGTTAGGGGTGATCAGGCAGGCGAGCAGTTAGGAGTCAGCAGTCCCGGATTGAGGGATCGGGGCTAAACCGGCAGTCGGACATCCCCCGAGGGGTCCCAGATTATAGAGGGTGCTGGCCAGGCTGAGGGACACCCCCCACCCCCGTGCACAAATTTCATGCACCAGGCCTCTAGTTTTTTATATATATATATCCCTAATATGCAAATAGACCAAACAACCAGTTGCTATGACGTGCGTTGACCACCAGGGGGTGCGTGAGGAACATGGTGGGCATTGGCTGCGGTGGGATGGTGAAGTAGGTGAGCCAGGGCTCCAGACCAAAGCAGGGCATCAGTTGCTGTCATCATGGTGATCCTCTGGTGATTACTGAAAATTCTTTGCTCCCATATGCCACAATCCCTCCTGGCACTGGCACCTGCTGCTGGCCCTAATAGCCCCACAGGGCTTCTCCATCTCCCTCTGCTCTTGAGGAGCGTTTGGGGTTGGCAGCTGCTTCTCCCACCTGCTGCTGGCTATGGCCCCACTCACACCTGCAGCCGGTGCCGGAGCTGCTGCTCTCACCCATTGCTGGTGCCCGAAGCCAATCCCGATCATTTGGCATCATCAGCAGGTGTGAGTGGTTAGGATTTCAGCCCCAATCACCCCTAAGGGCTTCTCCACCTCCCCCTGCTCCTGAGGGGTGATCTGGGCAGCAGCCACCGCTCCCACCTGCTGCTGGCACTGGCCTCAATCGCTCCATGCTGTGGTAGTGGGGCTGCCAGCAGACAGGGGACCTGGGGTTGTGGTGGGAGGGGCCAGACAGGGCCATGGAGGATGGGCCGAGACCTGCCCCCATGCCCACCACAGCCCACAGTTCCTTTCAAGGTGCATGAACTCGTGCACTGGGCCCTTAGTACAGATATAAAAGAAAGAAATATAATTGTCCCTATTGCCAATGACATGATAGTCAAGTTGAAAATCCCAAGCAAACTACAAACAACCTCTTAGAACTAATAAGTGAGTTCAGCAAGGTCATGGGATATAAGAGCAACATAAAAAAATCAATTGTATTTCTGCATAGTAGCAATAAACATACAGACACAAAAATTTAAAAATATAGTACCATTTATAATCACTCAAAAATT